TGACAAACGAAAGATAAGAAGTAACACATCAGGCGAAGAAGGTAACTCCTTTCAACTAAAAATTACCAAATATTATATATAAGACTTCTTTTTAACGAAACAACGAAGCGAAAGGAAATGGCGTTCGTGATTCTTGCCGACAGCTGTAGCCTTTCCCGAGGTCACAAACGAGAATAAAAACGTTGTTACATTAAAATGTTAACATATTTTTTTTCTCTTTTCCAAGGCATTGAGTGGAGACAGTATTAATGAAAGAAACATTATATTTCTCGTGACACTGTGGAATCAGGCAATAGTCAGTTGTTTTGTTTTGTTTGTTTTTTTGCAGGGGGGGGGGGGGGTTATGGAGTTAATAGTACACTCATATTATCTGCTCAGTACCTAGTTTTTGAGAACTTTGGCCTGAAAATGTTTGAGTTTCAGAACATAGCGCGCTTTTCGAATGGAATTCTTTGAATATCTTGATAGTGACTCCGAGTAATCTTGCAATTTTAACAGAGCTGATAGGCCTAGAACATAATTTGGTTTCTGACCTCATGGTCTGAGTTAACGCAAAAACGGCCAAACATGTGAGGTTGAACTTTGCAATTCTGATTTAGCGACTTGTCAAGGTTGAAGAGGGTGGGCGTGGCCTCATGTCAGTGGAAAAGCTGACGATAAAATGTCTGCCATAGTTTGATGACTTCCAGAGTTTTGCTTTCGGAGGTAATTAAAGCCCAAAGAGCACCGGACATTGTTTTTTTTGTTTTTGTTTTTGTTTTTGTTTTGTTTTGTTTTGTTTTTGTTTTGTTTTTGTTATGCTTTTTTGTGCTTTTGTGTTTCCGTCTTGCTCATTTTGTCGTTACTTTCTTTCTTTCTTTTTTTGCGCAAGTGGTTTTCATTTCCGATTAGTTAAGTCACCCTGTGCCAGGTGTTCCGAACCAGGTGGTAGCTTATTGGGTGGTTGGCGGGTGGTCTGGTATGGTATGGTTTGCTCCCTGTTTCCTATCGTCCTTGTCTCTCCTCCTTTTTGTGTGTATATTACTCTCTTGTAACACCTCTAAACTTCGGCACATATCTTTTTAAAAAATCATATAACCTAATTGCGTTGCTAGTGCCCCAAATCTATCACTGAGACTGAAAACAGTAATCTTCCGGTGCTTTGCCGACTGGCGTGGGCGATCATGGACCTCCACTTCACTCTGTCTTGCATTGCAGCAATGTTGTCTGTTGTTCTTGCTGTTCCCAGCCATGTTGTCATCCTGTCCACTTTCTTTTCCCTATGTCTGCCTCTGCCTCTCTTCCCATCAAACTTGCCTGATGTTACAATATTCTCCAATGCTTCTTTCCGCATTGTGTGTCCAATGAACTTTGCCTGCCGATTTCGTGTATTCGTCATACGCTGTCGTCTGCAATTTGCTCCAACCAAGACTTCTTTATTTGTTTTTCTAGCTCCCATTAAAATTAATTTTTCGAGAACGATAGGAATTCAAGAAAGTTTCTAAAATCGTGCAAAATTATTATGCACTTTATATGTTTCATCTATAAATTATAAAGAGAAGACGTTGACAACTCTCTACCTTAGATTTAAAAACGTTTTCTCTGACGTTTTAGGCCATTTTGAGTTACTAAACCATGAGGTAAAAAAACGAATGTTCTATCTGCTCTATCCAAATCGTACGATAATTCGGAGCCGTTAGCAAGACATATTTTAAAAATTGCATTCGAAAAGAAAAAGTTTTTGACATGTTGTAAAACTCAATTTTTTTAACGTTAAAATTCTCAAAAACAGGTACTGAGCAGATAGAACTTTTGTACTTCTAAGGTAGTAGAGTGCCTCCTGCCCATCAGAGACTATGAGACAACTAATTGCTCTCCTGCAGTTTCCGAAAGTAGGCCCACTTTATCTCTAGGCACTTTGTTCCCAGAAGAAAAAGAAACAACCACAAACAATCTCGCAAATTCAAGTAATGCACGAAAACAAGCCGTAAGCAGAAATCTGGTTTTTATTTTGGTAAGAGTTTTACCAGAGGCGGCAGAAAGGGGAGAAAAAAGCAGACGACAGAACATGGTTAGAGTGCTGGACAGGAGGTGAAAGGAGACACTTTTTTAAGGGAAAAAACTTTTCCACCGCTGTCAGGTTTCGAACCCGCGTTCTATAGGATAACAGGCAACCACAGTTACCTCTTGACCATGAGAGTCCCCTACACCTTTGTGAGCCTAGGGTAGCAAATTGGCTCCCGCCTCGCAAAGACTTAGAGACCAACTCACTGCCTCTCATACAGTTCCAAAAATACGCCTGCTTTACCCATAGGTACTGTTCAAGGAAGACGTTTTCGTGATTTCAAGTCGTGAACGAAAATATAGAGACTGGCCCTGAGTAGGGAAAGAGACAAAGTGTTTATTTGTGGCCTATGTACGACACAGATCCAAGGCGAGAAAGGCACTGCTGCTACTGCTGTTGCTGATGCTGCTGCTGATGCTGCTGCTGATGCTGATACTGCTGCTTCTGCTGCTGCTG